ACCTTCATGTCTCCTTTTTGTTAACGCTGCAGGAATTACTTCTTGGGTCTCTCTCTCTTTAGCAGCTGTCTTACCTGATACCACTGTGTGATTCCTGAGGTGTTTTTTTGTGGATAGAGACCTGAGTTTGCATGGATATTTGTATGTGTACATTCACATACAAATGCTGAGTAATTCAGCAGCACAGAAGCCAGCATAGACCAGTATGCCACAGCCCAACTTTCAGCTCAGGTCAGCTTTTTTTTGCAGAACAGAGGGAACAGGATAATGCCTGGCTGGTGGGCGCTGACTGAATGAAGGTCTGCTCTGCATGGCCATGGGAGGAAGGAAGTTACAGCTCTGTCTGTCTTGCCCAGCAGTAGTACCCAAAACTGGGACTGGCTTGAGCCCCCTTCAGGTGTTGAGTTAAGACAGTCTGGGGCTGTACAGTCTGCAAGACCCTGCAGCTTTAAGCATGGGAGCACGTTTTTCTTTTACAACCAACCATATGTACCTAAATTGTACTAGAATTGTGCCTAAAACACCGTCCTTTGGTGTATTTTTGCCTTATTTTTCAGAATTCAAAGCATGGTAAGTAAGTATAACACTAAGCTATCTTACCAAGATCTGACCACACTAATTTCAACAGATGAAACTTCAGTCTGATAATCATCTTCCATTTTAAAGCAAATATTAAAATGATAATACGGGAATTTTTTAAGCTAAAGTGCAGTACACTGAGTTATTCTAACATCAGGGCTGGTAGAGCACTTTCATAAATTGATCAAACTTTGCTGATCTTTCTTTCCTTTGCTCATATAACGTAACATAATCCTATTTCTAATTGAACTCAGTGGTAGCCAGGGCTATAAAGACGTGTGCAAAAACTGCCTCTCTGAAGCCTTCAAGCTCAGTAAGACTGACACACGTCTTGCTCAAAATTGATGCTACATGCAGCAGAAAAATATCACTTGCAGAGGCTCATTTTAGATCCTTATATATGCACAAAGGGAAAATAATTATCTTGCAACATGCAGAGATGGATCTTGTCTTATTCTATCCATTCTGTGGACAAACTGTTATGTTCACTGCTTTGATAAAACCTTTCTAAGACATGAGTAATTCTCCACTCAACAGCCCACAGCTTGACTTCTAGTTTTTAAAGCTGGATGTTTATTAAGATCCCAGATTCGTCCATTTGTTGTGAAATCCAGGTGGGGAAAAAAAACCACACCAAATAATTCTTGATATTTCACGTGATAATTCTAACTGAGACTCAAGGTAAAAAGGCCTAATCTCATTAGCTATGCAAGACATGTAAACGCATGTCTCCAGAAATAATGACTTCATTACAGTGTTGATCTTCTGTGGGTTGAAGCCTGCCTTAGTGGAAAACAGGGAGCAATGATCATGTATTTCACCTGCTTATTGTACGTTGTAGGAGAGCCCAGAGGCACAATAAGAAATACATTTGGTAAGAGACTTACATACAAGAAATCAGTAATTTAATGCATTAATCACTAGAGTGCAGTTATAGGCCTTAATTTAGAAAGCATTAGTCATTTGCCATAGATAACCTTCTGTGGCTTAGAATTTCATAGCTCGAGTTCTTTATAGCTTTGCACAAGCAGCACACGCAAGGACCTGTTCTTTAGCTGCAAGCACATTTTTTCAGTATTAAATTCACTCCATTAAATACAAGGGAGAGCATGTGTTTGGATCTTATTTCAGTAAAGATTATATCCTGGTTGCATTTTAAGGGAGCTTATAAAGATTGTAGATTATTAATATATTTTATGAGCACATTGAAAATGGAGTGGTATGCACTGGAAATGTTACAAGCACAAGTATAGAAGACATCATAGCTGGTAATAAACTGTTGCAGTAAACACCCTATTAACCTGTTGGAGTCTCTACCAAAATATGAAACAAATGACTGTTTGTTACAAAAACTGCTAACGCTTATATTGGCCTTTTAGAACTGAACTTTCATATAAGATGTGTTCTTGAAATTGCTAATATCCTTAAAATTAAGCGTATCAGTGTTTAAGTTCAAGAGGCTGCAAAAAATTGAGGACATGGTAAAAATCTGTAAGTGATTACTTGTAGTTTTTGGTGTTTTGATGCGCACAGTAGAGAGAATATCTTTTCTTCTCCTTTTTTCCCAACCCCATATGGTGACTGGGATCCCAGTCAGAGTTTAGCAGTGTCTGACTGAAGCTCAGTAGAACCACAGGCAGTGGCACCTGCAGGTGAGCCTGCTTGCTGGGTATCTCACTCACCACATGTACGTGACCTGCATAACGCGAAGGGGAGCTGGGAGCACCTCTTCTTTGCACAGACACAGCGCAGGAAGACAGCTTTGGTTTTAGTTTCCATTGTTTCTTGCAAATGGCAGAACAACGCGAGATGGCTGTGTAGGTGTTCTTTTGTAGTCAAAACACAACATGCTCTGCATTATTTGGAATTACATTGCTTCCTCTGTGCAAGAAAGCATTTAAAGGTGTCAGCACAGTGCTGTGGAAAATGTGATGTGTGTATGTCAGAGAGAGTATAAGAAACAGGCTGCTTAACAGACCATGGAGCTGCTTCGTTTCTTTCAGGAGCTGAGTATGTCAGCATCTTTGATAGAGCCCTGTGAATTACGTATTTTAAACTCAGAGGTTTTTAATAATTGAAAAGAAAGGGTTTAATTCAGAACCAAGATTTCACTTGTAACAATAATGTGTGAGCATAGTTTAGAGAAATCAAACTCAATGCACCCAAGTAAAAAAGTTCTAGGTTGGACTTCCAACCTTTCACAAAAGCCATGCCTGTAATGGTGTGGTTAACAAGCAGCAGTGAATGCTGCATCATCCTGAGATGAGCTTCTGTGCTGAAAAAAAATGTACCAAATATTTTAAATAAAAGACACTCAAAACCTAAAGCTAGGAAAGGATTCCTGCTTCCCTGCTGCTTTAGACACAAAGTTTTTATTCATGGTCTGAAAACAGCTAAGGTGCCACAAGTTCTCTCTGGGTTCTAGGCTTGCTTCAGTAACTTCAAAATAAAACATCTCAGCCTTTTATGTATGTGGATGAACAGTTAGAGGCCTATGTTAACAGAATACAAAACAAACAAACAACCCACCCACAATTCTCGCATGTTTCCCACTTGCATCAACAAGCTACAATAAAGGAATGGAAACTGAAGTATCCATATAGGATACTTCCACAGGGTGAGATATGTGCAAATTGGGGTCAAATGTCTAAATTCTGTTGCTGAGTGTTACTGTCACCATCTGCAAAGCAGTGGCAGACTGCTACATCCTTACTGTCTTCTCCAGTTTGTTACTGTGGTAGAGATCACTCCTGAATATATACTGAACTTCAAATATCCAGTTCTATCTCTTCTATTACAAATGAGAAAAGCAGCACCAAGTAAAAAATTGGTATTACATTACTTGGGCTTAAGTATCACAACCGCTTCATCAAGCTGCAAATTTGCACAGAACAGACACTTTTTAATAACCCAAGTGATCTGAAAGAATTTTGTAGGTCTTTTCCTAAGCTATTTTATTTGGCTTTATCTAATTCCCTGTGTTCCATCTAAATGCAGTATTCCAAACTTAGCACAATTAATCTCTAGCTACATAAGTACTGTTTTCTGTGGCTCTGGAACTATTCCTTCAGTGCCTGAATGTCTTGCAGTGTCCCTCTTGATTTAACACAAGTGGATCACAGGCAACCAAAGAGTTGCATTGATACCATTAAAATACATGCATGTACTATTAGTTATAATACCTACAAGAGAAGTGACAAAAATATCAGTAATTCACAGTACAAAAGCCAGACTAGCATGAGGACAGGCACCTTGCTGCCCTCTCTGGCCCAATCAATTCCATGTAAAGCGAAAGAGTGTCAGCTGGAAATGGAGAACTTGTCAGTGAGATCTCCTCATGGTCTGGTGGGAAATCAGAGACAGAAGCAGAGGTCAGATCCTAGTATGAGAAAAGAGGCTCTGGAAGAAGTGATCTGGAGGAGCAGGAGAGGAGTGCTACAACTGCTGAGAATTAGGTGTAATGGCTGGCTTAGGCAGTTGGCTCCAAAAGAGGTTTAGACCTGTACAACCACAGCAGAGTCCAGACTCATTTCATGGGTGACTCGCAGGACATGACCCTCACTCTGCTCTGCATCTCCAGCTGTCCTGGTTAGTGATGCTTTGGTTAACACAGCATACCCTGTAGATCTAGCATTTTAGTTAACTCTCCTATGCAATGTAACTGAATCCCCAGCTCACAGCTGTGGAAACAGCCAAGCAGCAGAGAACTAAAAAGTTATCTGGCCAACGCAAAAGCTCTTTTACAAAAATCTTTTCCAGAAGACTAAAGTAACATTTTTAAATAAAAATTACCTTGTATTCATATTTTAAACACCTTTTCATTCCTGGATACTTTATTCTTTTTTAAGAGTCACTGTACCAGGTAAATAAATCAGTCCAGATACAGAACTACCATTCGGCCTCAATTTCTTGGGCCACCAGATCAAAAAAAGATGTGAAGCTTTTGGAATGGGTCCAGAGAAGGCTATAAAGCTGCTCAGAGGGCTGGAGTACTTCTCCTATGAAAATGGGCTGAAGGAATGGGTCTTGTTCAGACTGGAGAAGAGAGGGCTATGGGGAGACCTCATTGTGGCCTTAAAGAAAGCTTACAAGAAGGAGAGGAATCGACTTTTTACATGGTCTGATAGTGAGAGAACAGAGGGAATGGCTTTTAACTAATAGAGGGAAGATTTAGGTTAGATGTTAGGAAGAAATTCTTTACTGAAAGGGCAGCGTGACCCTGGCCACGTGGGCAGGGACACGTCTCTCTAGACCAGGTTGCTCACAGCCCCATCCAGCCTGGCCTTGAATGCCTGCAGGGAGGGGCATCCACAGCCTCTGGGCAACCTGTGCCTGTATCTCACCACCCTTACAGTAAAGAATGTTTTCCTAACATCTAGTCTAAATCTATCCTCTTCCAGTTTAAAGCCATTTCCCTTCATCCTGTCTCTATTTGCCCTTATAAAAGCCCCTCCCCAGCTTTCCTTTGGGCCCCTTCAGGTACTGAAAGGCTGCTATCAGGTCCCCCTGAAGCTTTCTCCATAGACGTGCCTGTCAGCATGAAAACTCGAGCAGCGAGCAGCAAACACCGTTCCTACACTGTCCACACCGAGGTGAGTCGACAGGATCGCCATATACAGACGATATTGCTCGCTGTGTGGAGGCCGGATCCCCACACAGCAGCTGATGGCAGCAAGTCATCCATAGAACTGCTGCCGTGCCCGCGTTCCCCAGGTGTTCCGCCGCATCCCGGGGCGCGCCGCAGCGGGAAGGCCGCCCCCTGCAGGCATTTGCTAACTGCTGCCGCGTGCCCGCAGCGACCCGTCCCGCCCCGCGCACGCCTTCCAGCCGCAGCCGGCGTAACCCCGCGCAGCCCCTGCGCCCTGTGCGTGGGGGAGGAGAGAAGGGGAACGGGTGACGGGCGTTCCCGGGAGGAGGCGCGGTCACTTTCCGGCCCGCCGTCTCCGCGGGGGGGTCTCGTAGCCGGCCGTGCCGCCCCGGGGCCGGGGAAGGTGAGTGCGGGCGGCGTGTGGCACGGGGTGCGGGGCAGGGCGAGCAGCGGGAGGGACGGGGCGAAGCGGGGGCTGGGCGTCCCGTGGCCACGCACCCAAGAATTACCCGCGTGTCCCGTGCTGCGGGCAGCGAGCTGAGCTCTTACCCCACGCTGTGCTTCCCCGGGCGTGGTGGTGCGCTTCGTTCTGCAGCGGTGCGGGGAGGAGGGCTGGCGCTGGGTGCAGCCGTCGTCCTTCACCTTCCGCTTCCCCGGCAGCCGGGCAGGTCGGAGCAGGTGCGGATGCCACGCGCCTGACCCGCTGATGGCCTTTCGAAGGTCCTTTGCAGCCATTGTTGTCCGCTCCTCCCCACCTCAGCCCTTCCCCTCTGAGCCGTTAGTTGATATCCACCCTGCGGGAGATTTTGCCACCTGGGTTGCACTTCACCTGTTTTTAAAGCAGTATGTTATCCAGCAACTGCCCTCTCCCCCTCCCCCCGAGGCTGACAAAACTACCAGGGGAGCTTCAGGTTGCATATGAGGAAATGCTTCTCAGAAAGAGTGGTGAGGCACTGGCAGAGTCAAGGTGTAAAATTCCTAAGAGGTACATAGGCATCCAAGGCAGGAGTTGACGAGGCCCTGCTCCACCTGCCGGGTTATCAGAGGAATTCTCTGCCCCTTTTTTGTCATGCTCAACTGTCTGAGAATGCAACTTTGTTTTGTGTACTCCTGGCAATGCCTTGGGTCTGCTAAGGCCGAGCAGTCTGCATCTAAATCTGGCTATATCACATGACTGTTTTGATGTAAGCATACTTCTAGCTCAGAATATGTCCAAATGCAGCAGCAGATGCTGCTTTGTTTTGTGCAGTGATCTGTTGTTACAGTACACCTTTAATTCTGTGACTTACTGCAAGGAGCATCCACCATCTCCCAGGTCATGGGAGAGTTCATCCAGCTCAGCTTTATGCCTGAGGGCAGATGAGACATTGTCTTCCTCCTAATTGGTGACAAGCTTTTTCTTCCTGAAGCGCTGTTATTGTGCAACAACTTCTAGAAACTCAATGAGTCCAAAGTGATCAGTGCTCCAGCAGTTAGTGGCTATTTGTTACGCAGGAGGGTTTGGCACTGCATTGCACAGGAGCTCACCAGCCACTTCATGCAGTGACTTTCAGGCAGGCCGGCTGCTTTTCTACCTTCTTCACTTTTTACATCTCCTGTGCACGATGGCTTTTACAGCACAGGCTTACAGGCTTCTTTCACCTATACTTACAAATACAGTTCTCACATTTTTGCACCTCCAGTGGCAAGTTGGAACTAACTTAAATTTACACTAATTCTATTGCAAAGAAATTTAGAAATTACCATTTAAATGTCTGAAGAAAAGAGCAGACGAGGTTTCTTACTTCAATTAAGTTGTCTGTGTCTCTCCTACGCTTGCAGCTTATTATGTTTCAGTAGTTTTTAAAAAATATTTGTGCAGAAAACATACTTGCAAAAGCAAATATTTCTTTGTTGTCTGTTATTGGCACCTGTCCCTATGATCTTTTAATAATTCCTTACTAAGTACTCTGCTCAGACTGGGTTGCAGGAGTGATGGAGTGACCACCATGTCACTTCCATTCCAGCCAGCCATTGAGTAATATTTGCTGACTTCAGCTACCAACCCTTACTGCTGCTTTCTGCTTGATCACCAGTTGACTGGGATCACAGTGCTGCTTAGATTTATTAAAAGATTGGCTTTGTAGGCAAGGCTGTACCAAATTCTGCCTCTGGCTCTAAGAGTTGTGCTCTGAATGCCTTTCTCCACTCCTTCCTCAGGATTTTCTGTCAAATTTCTGAATGCTGGCCTCTCCTAAGTTAAAAAATGCAACCTCCAACCTAGCTGTCATTCTTGATATTTACTTCTCGTGATCTCTTTGATCCTTCTCAGGTGAGAGTGTTAAACCTGGCTGTTTCTAATTACTGTGAAAGCACAAAAAAGGGTCCTTTTGTCCCTGGGCTAAACTTGCTTTGTGAAAAACACAGTCCAAAACAATAATCATAGCAGTGAGTTGGAAAAAATCTTCACTGTCCTCAAGGAAGCCTTGAGAAGTTCCTTTCCTCATGGCTTGGAAGAGTACTGGAAACCTTGCTGGTTCCCTTCTCAAGCCTAGCTGAGTCTCTCTCAGCCCTCATCATCCCCTATCAGAGAGAGCAGCCAGGCCTGCCTGGGGCTGGCAGATGAACCAAGTGGGGTCACCAGCCCAGCACAGAAAAGCAGGCTGGTGCTGTTCAGGAGGGAGATGCTCAAAGCAGTGTCAGGGGCTGGACTCTGGGGCTACAGCACTTTCTCTGTGCCTGGATCTGTTTTGAGTGTCTCCCTCCCAAGCAACACCAGCCTGCTTTTTGTCTATACATTCAGATTTGCTTTTCCTGTCCTTCTGGAAACCACACTGTTTTACAAGAGCTGTAATAACAGAAGAGTAGAGGAATCATGGTCTTTGAAGTGTGCATGTCTGCATCTCATCATATGATCTTAGGGCATATAAAAATGAATCTAAGTGATGAACAGGAACCAGATAATTACATCCAATACGTAGCTTCTCATTACCCAAATCAGTGGCTGTTTTTTATGACACTTGTGCTCTGTCAGGTCACGTAATGCCTTATTGCTTTAGGTCTCCCATCTGTGAAAGGAACTGCCTCATCACTCACCTGCCTTGTAGCACACTTTCTGATTTCAAGTTGGAAAATGCTGTATTTGGATTAAGCATCAGAGCAGCTTAAGGGAGAGGCTGAGGAGGTTGGAAGGGCACATTCATTAATCATCTGATTTTTTTTCTTTTTTAATTTAGATTGTAATTGGCTAGAGGGGCACCGCATGAACAGTTTGTTTACACTGCACAGCTTTTTACAAGCCCAGATGCATATATTATGATGGCTTATAGCCAGGGGAAAAGCGTGGAGCCTTATTTTTGTTTCAGTAAGTAGATTTGATCTAATAGGATAACAGCAATGATACATATTCTCACAATAGTGTATTCTCGCTGGCCTTACTGTTTGTGATGTATCTTTTAAGATCTCTTTTTGGCCTAGATAAATGTTATAAACAAACTCCTTGTCAGCTGGCTTACTGTTAGATTAAAAGAAAGAAGGTGCTTTTTGAAGGTCTTTGGTTGTTGTTTTTTTTTTCCTAAGAAATTTTACCAAATATCAAATCAAGGCAGCCCTTCAGTCAGTGTGTATAACCAGTCCCTTAGATAGACGTCCATAAGTGATACCATGAGTGAAGAAAAACATATAACATTTTTTAGATAAGGGTACTTTCCTTGATCTGCACTTTCTCCAAGAAGTAAAAATGACTCGCTGTTCTCTACAGAATCAGGATGTGGCTGTGGATATACAGAGATCACAGGAAAGGAAGGCTCCTTCATTTGTGTGGCAGTAAGGGACCCAGGAATCGATTGAGAATGAGAAAAACACATTACTCTATTCAGGTGAATTTCGATAGAATTTGGACAGCCAAGTCCTCAAAATCTGATCCATATGCCCTTCCTTCAGCCATCAACCTACACAGCCCCACCACATTCTTCTGCTGCTCCCAGTATGTGCAAACCATTGCACAGAACAGCCCAGGGTGAGGAGCCCTGCACATCAGTTGCATCCTCTGTGGAACTTGCATGGAACATCTCTGACAGAGCTGCAGCTCTGAATCAAGAGCAGAGCACATCATTCATGGACATTTTATTTCAAATTGAGCATGGAAAGGAGAGACCTCTGATATCACGACCCAGTTAGACCATTAAGGAAGCAGAGTATCTGGGTTCTTAGCCTTCCTCAGTCTGAGAAGCTTCAGGCTGTATCTATTAAAGACACCGCTTTAACCACAAGGCTATAAGCAAGTATGTGTGTCAGGTAACAGTATGTTATATTTCTTCTACTGAAGCTCGGTTACTGAGCAAACAATTCAAGAGCTGTAAGGGCTCTTGTGGAAGATAAACTCCTGGAATTACAGTAATGGTTGCTTAATTTTGGTTTGTTGAACTAAAAAAGCTAGTTTACCTTCAACTTCAGAGCTGAGTATTGAGTACAGAATAAGCACCTGATGTGCCTGTCTTCTTCATTTTGTCCATACGTGCTTCTCTGGCATAATGTTGCATTCAGTCAGTATTTCCTTTATTCTGCAAAACTGGAAAGCTGCAGTAAACTCTTTCCCGGTTCTTTCAGTGTCTCCTTCCACTTAGATGTGTCATTTTCCAAGGTTTGGAGGCTGATGTCCTGCAACTTTTGTCAGTAATGTTGGATGCCATGGAGAGAGAAGCACTGATGTATCAGAAAAAAATCCTACTAAGACTATAAATAATTCAAGTGGAATTTAGAAGCTCCATCTGGGCACAACCCTCAGTTCATTGTACCACAGCTCTGGTGAACACAGAAGAGGGACAGAAGTTAGAAAGAATGTATTTATATCTAAAAATCAGAAATGTAACATTTGAAATGATATGATTATCTACACAGAAACATCTCTTGATGACTGGATTTGAAACTAGAGAATTAAATCAAATCTTAGAATTTGTCAGAAAGCAGAGGTATGGCTCCACTCTGTCTAGAAACTTATTCACAGAATCTGTTGCAAACTCTGCAGTTGTGATTAAAGAAGTATAAAACAGTCTCTATTCAGTTGGTTTGGCTCTGGATATATACATACAGAACTTGGATTAAGTGTATTTTGTAGACATTCACAAGCAAAACTATAGAGTGATGGTGAAATCAGCTCACAGATTAATTTTATGTTAAATCACTGTAATTTTTTTATACAAACACATCTCATCATGGATGAAAAATCAAAACGGACAATTAAATGGTCTTTGTCTCTTCTGGGTATGGAAGGGAAAGAAGAGGACTGGCCTCTATGCATTAATTTTACAGGCAAGAAATACACGCTGACATTGCTTGAACCTATATTTTTCTTCTCTTTCCCTTGGGAACTTTTGTGGTGCCCGTGACAGCTAGCGGTGTTTCACAGAAAGACACCAGGATAACAGCAAGTGAGATCTTACATCCTGCTTTCCAGACTGCAAGACCTTTACATATGAAGCTAAAAGAAAAGAATGCCTTCCCAGCTGGCAGTAGGATTCAGGTTCATTCCCTCTACAGACTTGCAGCAATTATAGGTGAGATTCTCAGGCACTTATCAAACCTTGCACACCACTCATCTGTGATTCACTGACCTACAGAAAATGCCCTGGATGTTTTGGTGAAAGTTAGCACGAGCCATCACCTAGGAAAATTCTTCACAGGAAGCTATCATGGTCACTACAATAAGTTACTGACAAAAATCTTTACCAATCTAAATCTTGTATAAATAATTGTATCAGAGTGATCTTCTCTAGAGCCTGTCCAGATAGCCAGCACCTCTGCTGCTTCATTCTCCAAAAGCTATGGCTGACAATTCAGAACCACTGAAGTCAGCCAATCATTCTCCTAAGCACACATCAGGTGAACTGTCACATGCTGATTTATATCTGACCCAGGGGTTATGTGGCGGAGGCAGAGGAGGCAGCCGAGGACAATAAGCACCCTAATGACTGTGACTCAAAACCACTTCTGAAACTGAAATTTCCCCTTCGTATCACTCTTCTTAAAAGCAAGTAAGTGAATGTTCTTGGCCATCAGCAAAAACAGGATACCTTACACATTATTTACCTGTGTGTAGTGCAGTGCATTTTTTGTTGGGGGCATGGAAAGGGGAACAACAATTTCTTTGTGACTCTCCATGGGACAGCCAACTCCTTTCTGGCTCATATATATATTACAAAGGTCACAGCCTCAGTCCCTCTACCTCTTTTGTTGTAATTAAGAAGATTTACAATTTTTACAAAATAGTTTGCTACTTAGAATGCAGCCTTTCAACAATGCCTGCTAGGTAAAAAATAAAAAACAACAAAAAAAAATGGGGGAGTAGAAAAGACAATTATTTTCTAGTACTAGGGATAATTCCTCACAAATGCAGTTAAAATCTCTTAACAGAGTTTTGATAAGAGTTAGGTTAAGAGTTAGGTTCTGTGAGACTGTGTCAAAGTTAATGAGACTTGATTGTATTAGTAATTCCTATTTAGCAGTCTGTTAAAAATGGCTTGGACTTTCATTTGGTGTTTGAAATGTGAGTATCAGATTGTTTTCTACTGACATACTTCTTCACTTCCTCAGAGTCTGTGCCGCTTATACAATAGCAATAAGCATAAAAGATTTTAGTTCAAGACCTAAATTCTGCATAGAATTCTGTTCTTGTGCGTTAAAGGAGCAGTGTGCCTAAATCATAAAAATTAATGGGATTTACCTCTTTTTAATTACCAGCTTAAAACCCAACTCTTTTTCCTTTCTGAAACAGGCACACCTTGTAGCTGTTTGGTGGCTGTCAGAGGGTTTGGTTCCACCAGGATTTACACTTTGCAATTTTTAAGCAGACTGTGCTGGATGTCACCAAAAAGCTTACACTGAGTTGTCAGTCAGTAAATCATTTCAATGAATGTTGTTTAAAAAGGAGAGACAGATGGCTGCAGTCTTAATTAACTGTGGTGGTGGTGTTTTCTCTACCTACACTACAGAAACAACTACTTTGGTGCTAATAATTCACTCTACTCTACATCATGCTCAGTAAAAAAGACTTGCCTTGTTTTGGAAAGGTTTTTGCCTGAGAGAGAGAGAGACAGGCAGACAGATGGCATAATGCATGGAAAATCCAGAGTAGGAATAAGTTAATAAATGGATTAATCAGTGAGATACAATAAGGTACATAGCATAATTTATGTATAGCTTAGCAATTTACAGTTCAGCAAATGTAGTTTTTTATATCTTGCAGCAGTTACATCGTAAGATGTGTAGCAGTAGGGTTACTTTTCATGTCTTGGGAACTCGTGTCTCTTTGGGACCCATATTTTGAGCAATCAGACAATCAGATGATACCTCGTAGACTTCAAAGAAAGCGATCTGGGATTTATCCTAATGTCATTTTTAGCATGACAGTAGTCGTTCATTCTACAACTGTTAAAAAGCTGTTATACAACTTATTGCACAGTCAGTCAATAGCAGAATTAATCTTAATATTTTAATTTCTTTCATGCAGATTCACAATGTTACATCAACAGCTAATAATTGTCTTTGGTATATCACTAGCTGGAGATATATGTGCATCTAGAAGCTGCTATTCAGAAGACCAAGTGTCCATGTATAATTTCTGCAACCTCACAAGTGTTCCACCTGTGCCAAAGGACACTGCAAAGCTTTTTCTAACTTACAACTATATCAGACAAGTGACCACAACTTCATTTCCACTGCTGGAGAATTTGTTCTTGTTGGAAATTGGAACACAACATGTCTTTCCTCTTTACATAGGAAAAGAAGCTTTCAGGAACTTGCCAAACCTTCGTGTCTTGGACCTGGGGTTCAATAACATTCTTCTGCTGGATCTTGATTCTTTTGCAGGTTTGCAACGTTTGACCATACTCCGTCTGTTTCAGAACAACCTTGGAGATTCCATCCTGGAGGAGCGTTACTTTCAAGATTTGAGCTCATTAGAAGAATTGGATCTTTCAGGAAACCAAATCACAAAACTTCATCCACACCCCTTATTTTATAATCTAACCATCTTAAAAGTTGTGGACCTGAAATTCAACAAGATATCCAACCTGTGTGAAAGTAATCTTACCAGCTTCCAAGGAAAACACTTTTCATTTTTCAGCCTCAATTCTAACTCTTTGTATAAGACAGATAAAATGGTCTGGGCCAAATGCCCCAATCCTTTCAGAAATATTACATTTAACTCACTGGACGTTAGTGAGAACGGCTGGAGCACAGAGACAGTCCAGTATTTCTGCACAGCTATTAAGGGGACTCAAATCAATTATTTATCATTTCGCTTTCATATAATGGGCTCAGGATTTGGCTTTAATAACTTTAAAAATCCAGATAAGGATACATTTACAGGACTAGCAAGAAGTGATCTTCGTTTGCTTGATATTTCCAATGGATTCATTTTCTCTCTCAATTCTTTAATCTTTAAAAGCCTTGGTAATCTGGAAGTTCTAAACCTTTTCAGAAACAAGGTAAATCAAATCCAAGAGCAAGCATTTTTTGGGTTGGAAAACCTAAAAATTCTCAATCTCTCAAGTAACCTTTTAGGTGAGTTGTACGACTATACTTTTGAGGGGCTACACAGTATAATATATATTGATTTACAGCAAAATCATATTGGGATGATTGGTCAAAAATCTTTCAGTAACTTAGTAAGTCTGAAAATAATTGATCTCCGAGACAATGCCTTAAAAAAACTCCCTTCCTTTCCACATCTGACTACTGCCTTTTTAAGTGACAATAAGCTGATGTCTGTAGCTCACACAGCAATAGCAGCAACACATATTGAATTAGAGAGAAACTGGCTCGCAAATCTGGGTGACCTGTATGTTCTTTTCCAAGTTCCAGATATGCAGTATCTCTCCTTAAAACAGAATCGCTTCTCTTACTGTGAAAAACATGTTAATGCTATAGAAAATAACCAGTTGATTTATATGGATCTAGGAGAAAACATGTTACAGCTTGTGTGGGAGAGAGGTTTATGTTTGGATGTGTTCAGGACACTGTCTAAACTTCAGATTCTATTCCTGAACAACAACTACCTTAGTGCTCTTCCACAGGAGATTTTTAGTGGTCTAACATCTCTCAAAATACTTAATCTAGCCTCCAACCTATTGTCTCACCTCTCTCTTGGGGTTTTTCCACGAAGCCTAATAAACCTAAACTTGTCTGGAAACCAGCTTTTTTCCCCTAAGCCTGAAGTCTTTATGACTTTGAGTATTCTGGATATAACACATAACAAATATGTCTGTGATTGTGCTTTAAAAAGCCTACTAGTGTGGCTAAATGAAACCAATGTAACCCTAGCTGGCTCAGAGTCTGACAGGTACTGTGTATACCCACCTGCATTAGCAGGGGTACCAGTGTCACTTCTGACATATGATGATTGCGATGAAGATGAACTCCAGCAGACACTCAGGTTCTCAGTATTCATTTTCCTTTCTGTCACCCTTCTGATGTTTCTGATGTCAGCCGTTGTTTTTACTCGCTGTCGGGGGATTTGTTTTGTCTGGTATAAGACCATCACCAAAACTTTGATAGGAAGCCATCCACCAGCAGCAGATACAAGTGAATACATGTACGATGCATATTTGTGCTACAGCAAAAATGATTTCGAATGGGTCCAGAATTCCTTGCTGAAGCACCTGGATTCACAATATTTTGATAAAAACAGATTTACCCTGTGCTTTGAGGAACGAGATTTCTTGCCTGGGGAAGAACATATCAACAATATTCGTGATGCTATTTGGAAGAGCAGGAAAACAATTTGTGTTGTTACCAGGCATTTTCTCAAAGATGGATGGTGTGTAGAAGCCTTTAATTTTGCCCAGAGCAGATACTTCAGTGATTTGAAAGAGGTTCTCATTATGGTAGTAGTTGGGTCACTTTCTCAATATCAGCTGATGAAACACAAGCCAATTCGAATTTTTTTACAAAGAAGTCGATATCTGCGTTGGCCTGAAGATTATCAAGATATAGACTGGTTTTTAGATAACCTTTCTTCCCAAATTCTGAAGGAAAAAAAAGTGCAAAGGAATGTCAGTGGTATAGAGCTGCAAACTATAGCGACAGTCTCACACTGACAGTTGATGGGTCACTAGCTTTCTCAGTACTTTCTATTTTAGCTGTGCTATGGGAGGACAAAACAGGTCTGCTTCATCCTTCCCTGAAAAAGCAGGTAGAGAGTTTCGTTTTAAATCCTACTAAACTTGGAAACAACTTGAGAGCTAAGAAAGTGCAATAATTTTATGGCCAGTGGCACTTATTTTCAGAAAAATTAAATGAATCACAAATGCCTCAAATTTTGGATGCTCAGCTTCAAACAACTTACTATTGATTTTTAGAGTGCTACATACTGAAACATACTGTTTCAGACAGGAGGATGCCTGTTTTTATTTATTTATTTTTAATTCTTTTCAAAGACCATTGTACTGTGTGAGAGTGCCTTATAACTTTATGTTTTAAAATGGTGCTATATAGATTTCGTTTGTTTTCTACTCAACTAGGCTCAGATTCTCAACTGCAACATACAACCTTTGAACTTCATTCATTCCTTTCCCTTTTCCAATTCTTCTGCTTGGTGATGAAGCCACAGTCATTGGGATGCTTTATTTGCTGCTGTTCCAATTGGTCATTTTCTCAGTAGCCTCCCACCCTGCAGAGAGAAGCAGGTATCCCCTTCAGATCTGAAGCAAAAAAAGAACCTGAAAAACAAAGAAGAAACTACCTCCATAGCTATAAGTGGCTTCTGGGAAGCTTTCACATTCTGTGGATGGAATATATATATGGATAACTTGCTTGTCTTGTGGGTTGTTCTTGGTAGTCCTGTATCCTGACCAATTAAGATCTTTTTTTCTGATTCTATTGAAATAGTTTTCTAGAGTCATAAATGTCTGCTCTTTCTTCTTCTTACCTTTCTTTTCTTAGGTATGCATCTTCAGGGCACATTTGGGGTCATTTTAATAAAATCTGATCCATCATTGTTGTGGTTTAACAACAGCTGCACAGCCTCACCAAAATAATTCCAATATGGGCTGGGTGAGTTATTCTCTGTAGTGAAGATGCAGGAATGGATGAGTTTACAAACTGGCTGTCTTGACCTGAGCTGCAAACAAAAACTACCATCTTAACTATTTTCACAGAGATAAGAAGGCACAATCCACTTCATGTGAACGCAGCTGTTTGAGTATAGAAGCACTTGTGACTGATCTAATTTACTTTCAATATTCTATTAATACAACTACTACAGTGAAATATTATTTCCGTCTCAATCAATGTAGGCATCCATGAACAGAAAAGGGCTAAAAAGTTTGCTTGGGGCAGAGGGATTGAAAAAGGGACCAGGCTGTGCTCAGGAAGCCCTGGGTGTCGCTGTTGGCTCAAGTAACGGCGAGGGTTTCTCTACACTCCTGCCTCTGTCCATTGCAGCCACTGACATTACAGACAAAAGCTGCTGCAGAAGGTCAGAGAAAAAAGGAGCAGCCCCAGCTTCCCAGAGACCCTGCAGGCTGTTAGGAAAGCCATCACTGTGCCTTTCTTTCAGGTCTCTAAAAATGTCAAACTTTTTTTTTTTTTTTTCCCTACCCAGTGCAAATACTTAAAGGCATTCTTTGAAGTCAGAGGTTATATCAGAGAGTACTTAACATCATTAAGCATCACTGACAGGCAGCCAAAGGAGGAATGAATCTGTACAATCAAGATCATATGCAGGTCTAGACTGTTAGCTGAGGCATCTGCACATGGTGTAAGACATGGCAATTCTAAAAGCATACTTAAATTACATCTGTATGACTTTCACAAAACATTTTTCGTTGTAGTAATAGAATGCCCTCTCCAGTTTGGGCCTTACTCTGTACTTAAAAGACACTCTTATCGTTTCAGATACTTGAAACTTAATTCAGATAACATATGGAGGGACTACTGAATATAACTAGATATAGTTTGCCAAGATGGCTTTAACCAAGGCTTTGCCACTCTGTTTTAAATCCTCCTTTCTACTGTTTTTGCCATGGGTGGGAGGCAGCTAGATCAAACTTGCACGTGCTTCAGACTTTGAACAGATCTGACTTTTTAGATAAAAGTAATGAAGACTTTGGATGAAATTTCACTGTGTGCCTCCATCTTTGTATACAATTTTGGAAGTGTAAAGTGATCACAACTGTAAGGACCAGCTGAGAAAACATCCTTATACCACAGAGGTGTCATAAAAATAGAGGTAGCCCAGCCTCAGTCTGCTCTGCAAATTCTGCTACAAGAAGCTGGCACTTAGAGCAGAAGGATTTTTGCAGAAAACGCTATTGAACCATTCCTGATTGTGGAGTGGTTTGCAGGCATATGAATAAATCCAGGGTGAAACTTTAATGAAATCTAAAATAACTTTCTTTTTTATCCTTTGTGAAACCAGTCCAAGCCTGAGACTCTGAGAACAAATGCAGTCTTCCCAGTTGGCACAGTCTGTCCTATAGACTAAAAAATTAACTTCAAATAGATCATAGGATTCTGATCACCGCCACCATGGAGTCACCTCTTCTTAAATGACAAAGCCAGAGGAACTGTTGAGAAAGGGCTTATGCAGACTTCATACTGCTCTGCTCAGCAGAAATCGCAAAAGCATCCTGTACAAAAATGGAGAACATCTATGCTTGATGAATTAGGGCCATAAATTGAGCTCCAACCTCATAACTATTGATCAGATTCCCTTTAGGCTTGCTGGGAACATTACTGCTCTATTAGAATTTTATGGCTCTTCAGTTAAGGATACTCTCATCAGTTTTACTCACCTTCCTCAGTAGAAGACATTAACTTGTTGGAGAGTGTCCAGAATAGGGTGTGAAGTGTGACACTGGCTCTAAAACAAGCTATTAGGATGGAATCTGGTGAATGTATTTGCAGTAGCACCATGGCAAATATTCAGAGGACAGTGACTCTGTGCCACATGGTATCAGCTGAGATACTTGATAGTACGACCTTGCTTCCACCACTGCAATGTGTATTATAAACATTAACCAGTCAAGCAGCCAGTGCTGTTCAAGAGCTACAGTTAGCAAACCTGTGAGGGTCCAAAGTCTACATAGACTCCTATTAGAAGTCAAGGCACTCGGGGCCAGAACCCAAGTTCCACAAACATATTTCAGTGTTGGATAATAAAACTCACCTATAATATGACCACATATAATTTCACATTTTACACGATTATTATTTCACACACATCGAGACCAAGGTTCTGCTCCCCTTCCCATCCACACACAGTGGGCTCATCAAAGTGTCATCCAGTTACATTTGCTAACCCCAGTTGCTAATGCCTCCTCAGGGAGATGGTTCAGCATGCTGCTAGAGCTATTGCCTTCTTAATTTACACTTACTATCTGTCACTGCTCCCACTCCAGCAGCTATGCTATCTCTGTGGTAGCACAGAGTGGGACATTTATGTACGTGTTACTCAGAATCATGTTGCCTTTCTTTTTCAAATGCTACATCATTATCTTAGCTCATTTGCTGACTTTTGGGTCTTAGCATGACAGCTCTCCTACTTCTTACTGCCAGAGACCATCTGGGCTTCAGATTATTGTATCCCACCTTCTCAATTTCATATGATAGTGAATATTTTACAATGACTTTTAATGTGTTCTCTTCTTGCTAGAACTGTGAATTTCAGCAGTCCAGTTAAATCACAAAGCAAGACCCATACCTGGCAAAGTACTTACAGATGAAGAGCAATATACAATTGAGTGGCAGGAGTGAGTGATGAAAACACTGCAAATGGAGCAGGAGCAGCACATATGAATCTCTGGGGGATCACCAAAATTAGGAAGGGTATAAAAGCAGCCTAAGTATCTTCTCTTCAAAAGGGCACTTCATTCCATTCCATTCCATTTCATTCCAAGTGGAAACTAGAAGCAAGCAAAGACAAGAAAAGGAAGAAGATTTAATGTCTGAGTCTGCAAACAGGATCAAACACAATTCTCTCATACATCAAGTAGATTAAGGAGGACTAGCTCTAGCAAATAGTTGCAAAGTTTCATTGCACTATACCAAATGTAAGCTTACAGTTGTGTGAAATAAGGCATTCAAAATCAGAAAACTGGTATATTAAAAAACAAACACCAAAAAAACCCGACAGGTTACAAAACAATGATAAGTGTTTGTTACTTGACTCTGTAAGACAACATCTTTACACTTTCTCTGTGATCAGGAGGTGGAAATTGATGCAGTCACAGATACAAGAGCCAGTGTTTTAAGAAATAATCTAAGTATTTCAATACGTCCACTTAAATAAAAAGTGTGAATAAAAAGTCAGGCTTTGAGGAAGGAAGGAACAACTTTAGGAAGATGGTGAAGACAACACAGACTTGTCTTTCCAAGTCTCTCTGGATGGTGGCCTTCAGCACATATGTAATTCAACTGTTCAAAATTTTGTAGTTGCTGTTGATAGGTAGGCTCAGCAAAAACATAGCGTTAACTGAAATGAAATAACCTGAAGGAGAAATGACAACACGAAGACTTCCCACACAAACAAATTCACATCGGTAGTCCTTACGAAAGCTCTGCTGGTGACATTTCCACTAGGCTGCATGTCAGCCTCCAGGAAGGTACAAACACCTTTGTGATGACAAAGATTTTGTTCTGCTTTGGGGTACACGCACTTCTGCATACGCACATTTTAGTTACATGTTTTCTATTTCATCCCTTGCAAAGATGAGTTAGTTGAGCATCTAGGTCTTCAATTTCACTGTGCTGCTCCTAGCAGCCATTAAGATTCCATACAGTGGAACAGATCTGCAGACGCTGCTGCACTGGTATTTCCTTCAACAAAACTTACAAGAGCAAATTTTGGGAGCTGAGGTTTACCAGAAGGCCGCTGTGAGCACAGAAACCAACCCAGATAACACTCCATGCCAAGCACACAGTAGAAATGTTAAATTCAGACTTTTTATTCAATCTGGTATCATATTTAGGCACTACTGTTGGGCAAACCCAACTCTTCAGTGTTTCTCTCTTGCACAAGGGTTGAAGGAGGGTTCTTTTCCCTTTCTACCCTTCCTTACCTTTTGCTTTCTGTGCTGTGTGCTTACAGTGTAGCCACTGCCAAAAATAAGTCTACATTTCCTTTCCCAATATGCAAAATTTGGTATATAGATGTGACATGAATTATTTCGTAGAGCAAAGATTATCTATTCATAGCAGACTCTGTTTGCTTCAGACGTGAGGTTTTCCTTCCTTTCAGATAGCCTATTGTTTGTCTTTTCCATTTGTATTAAAAATAAAATCTTTGAAAACTGCAAGTAGGAGAGAAAAAAATATATTCCTTTTGAAACTAACAATTCTCCAAACAGGAAGGTTAGCTTTTTCCTGTTTAGACATGATGTTCAAAGAAAGGAAGTTGGTATTTTCAATGATAATAATTACATAGTATGTATATATCAGTAATTATCAAAGAAGTCTTCATTCTATTTAGCATGCCTCTAATGCTACACTACAGTTTAGAGTATCTTAATCTTTGCCAGTTCACCAGCCTCTTGCAAAAAGAGATTTATGAGCAGTCACTGCGCTTGGTTGATCAGCTGTACACCTGCTATTTGCAAGCTTCCAGAGTATAACAGTGTTATCAGACTGCTTCAAGCCTGCATGGAGAGCAGTGGAGCAAACAGACAATCCTCATACAAAACAACAAACGACACTGTACACTACAATTGCTCATGTTGGAAGCAATTCTCAGCATCAGCTTCTTTAATTCCAATCTTTGAGGGCTTTGTGACTCCTTTTTGTTATCTCCCTGGTTCTATGTTGTCAAGAATTCCTGGACTGCTTTTTTGTTGCAGATGTATTTGCACCCACCCAGGGAAGGACCATCCTGTGCTGTAAGTCAGACGTGGCAGGAACAGGTGTGCTATGAATAAGAGCTAGGATAGACCTACAAACCATTTACTTGAATAGATCCACCACACTGATTACCCAGGGTTCTGTGAAAGCTCCCAGAGCCATTAAAGCTCTCTCTCTGAAATCTGAACTATGCCTCTCCTGCCAGAGACCTGACTTGATAAGAAGATGCCAGCCCAGCCTTTAGCTGTAGCAACCAGTGCTGCCTCCAGCACAACCCACACCACAAGGAGAAATACAAGCTCCTGTGGAGCAAAGAGAAATTCACAACGCATGGTACCTTTACCAAGATCCCTTGGTACTCTTCAAGGACACACCAGCAAGAACAAGGAATATGTGGCAGATCAATAAAAAGCAAGCTGAGTTTCACACATTTCTGGCTTTACAGTTCCTCATCAGGAGCAGTAAGGATTCTGATTTCATAGAATCATTAAGGTAAGAAGAGATCACTAAGATCATCTAGTCCAACCATCAACCCATCACCACCACCCCCACTAATTTGATGGAAAGCAGATAAAGCAGATTCTAGTTGGTAAAGATAGAATTTAAAAAGCAAAGAATTTTTTTTTTTTTTTTTTTTTTTTTCCTTCTGAAATCTGAGACAGGCTTTAGAAAAGCCTGGTTAGCTTTCTGCCCCATTTTTACACAGTTCTCCTTGCCTGGGTCCTGGCTGAAGATGGAAACAAATCACCTTATGAAAGGAAAGACAGGTTGCAGAAGATCTGTAGTCTGATCTGAAAGCTGAAGAACCCAGTTAAGCAAAAGCAGAACTACTAACAAACAGAAGAAAACTGGATCTGAAGCTAGTAGTAGTTTCCAAGGTAAAGAAAGCAGTGAGCTGCATTAGTACAGAGGGCACATTCCCTGCCACCTCCCCATCTGCTCACACTGCAGATACAAGGACTAAATGAAAGGTAGAGAATGGTATGAGAAGCTGATAGCCTGAAATGAAGGTGATCAATTCAACTCTGAATGGATCTTGGGCAGATCACTGTCTTCACTGCCACATTTACTATCTTTTTCATGGGGAGTCTAGCAAATCCATCTATCTTCAGAGGGCTGCAATGATAAATACATCCAAAATGGCCAGGCTTTTCAATTCTATGATGACAGATGAGATCGTAACTTTTTAAAAAATGTACTTCCTATTAAGAGAGCTCTGTCTGTCCTACTGCCATGGAAGTACATTTTTCTGGCACTTACCATCATGCCCTGAAGTCCTTTCACTGAGGACAGACATCATTTCAGGGCTTTTTTCTTTTTTTTTTTGCTAAAACTGGAAAATCTTTCCTATTTAGCATAACTTCTGAAAAGAAAATAATGTAGTTCACTAGAAAGTGTCAACCCACTCCCCCTGGGTGTTCTTCCTTCCGAGTATTTGCTCGTACTTCTGTGGTTGTTTTTGCTAACAGTGTCCTTTTCATCAGTGTTCTTCTCTGAAGAGACTCATTCATAATATTCTCATTTGGGTATATACACATTCATTCCCTTGACACTCCAGCAATCCACAGTTCCATTCATACCCCAACACACACATCAGAAGGCTGTTTAAAAAACCCCAGGAAGTTTGCTCAGACATGTGCTATTTTAAGAGACTTGGACTGGGTCTTGGAATTTTACAACATTTGGAGGATTTGGCAGTGCGACTGTTTCCACACCAGGACACACGTGCAGTCTGAACATGTGCCATACACTTAGAAGGAGAGGAATAAGCTACCTGCAAGCTAAGAGATGAAGAAGGCCTATAAAATGCTTGAGAGCAGCTGTAGCAAAACATTCTGGGGAAGGCTGATCCAATCATCCACCATTTCATCCCTGCAGAAAGAGAGGAGCCAGGCTGCAGCCAGACAACTGCAAGGTGCACCTGCCCTGTTGGTACATCAGAGGACTGTCCCATTCACATGGCAGCTCTACGCAGTACGTAGATACAAAGCCTATTGACACTTCCTCTGCATGACTCCACTATGCCAGTGTCTGTGATACAGTTCTAATACTAGAAGATACCCACTACAGCTGGATTGTTCTCAATGTCCAGAAGAAGGGAGTATCTCTTGTACATGTTCTCCCTGCTGGAAGCCAGCCATTTATCAAGAAACTGGCCCATACTTCACATGCATGAGATAAAACAACAGGGGTGAAATCCACCAAAAACATTTTGCAGAAGCACCACAGTGACTCTCCTTGCAAAGCCCCCCCTTCCTTCTGCCATGCTACAGGTTCTGCTACTTCTCAGATGACCTCAGAACCCTGACTTTCTTAATTTAATAACACACTGCTCTCTGACCATTGCTTTACCCCTTTACCTGAGATTGAAGGAAGAAGTTGAGAAAGAGTTTCTATGGAGGAATCTGTATGTTGGTAACTTCCAGTGACCCTTTGGTAGCCCTTACACTCAGGTTGAAATCCCCTCTGTATCCTGTTGACTGTATTTCATTGGCATTACAAAACAGCACATCCTGTCTGAACCTATGAACCTTTGGCCAGACCCTCACCTTTATGGCTCCAATATACAAGCATTAATAACACTTGATGAGTTATCACAACGTGTCTAAAAGGACAAATCCCTCCTATTTGGCTCCCGCTTGTCTTTTTTTCACTACTCTATATATTTTGTCACTGGATAGTGGTCACAGGGGATATTGATTGCAGCTCACCTCCACAATATCCACTGGTTTTGAGGAAGGTGGGAAGAACATCTTCAAACAACTTTTTCTCAGCACAAAGACACTATTAGAAATAAAGCTGATCAGTAAGATGGTGATCGATTAATGGGTGCTTTGGCTTTGATGAGTCATCTGAGATGAGAGCCAGAGAAATATCTTGATGGTTGCAACCTGGATGAACTGGGAGGAGCAGTCATGGTAAAATGAAAACCAGAGACCATAAGAAAAAGAAATCTTCAAAATTGGAGAAAACTAGAGAAAAACAAAAAATTGCAGAAAGAAATAAATGTGTAGATTTTTGTTGGCAGTGACTTATTTGTTGTTGGGTTTGTGTGCTTTTTTACATTTTTAGCAATCTAAGATCTGACACATTTCATCAATAGAAAGCTACCCTGGGAGGTCCAATGATCTTCTAGTTTCAGGAAAAGCCATTTTTACTACATCTTGAGTAGATTAATCCCACAGCAAAATGTAAAGTAGTATGTCCTTTGTTTTCTGAAATCTTTCCCCTTCTTGAGAAATTTAAAAATCACATTAGATCTTCGTGAGGACAACTAGATGATCTCAGCCTCAGTCCTGCTTGTTACTTACAATATCCAAAACTATCAGGATGACTCTTCTGCAGATGTGGCCTTAAGCATTTTTTAAACATGCAGCTGTCAAAGGATTCCACATCTAAAAGGAGAATTTACCAGAAAGAGTCCACCACGGTGACCCACTGCTCTCAAATCTCCCTCTCAAAACAGATGTGTCTGTCCCCTCCCAAAATAAGAATCAGTTTTTCTGATGTGGGCCAGAAATCTGCCCTTCAAATTCTCAGAAAATTGTATTTATAGCATTGTGCTATCTAATGATTCAGAACCTCTTTGAGAAATACAAAGAACTGCTACACCCAGGTTACAAGCATGACCCCTGGAGAGAGGACATCCTGAATAAATGTGGGGAAAACAAAGATCCGAGGACTGCTCTTGATAAGCCACAGTCTGTGCATATTCCTTCTAACAACCACACAGTTCCAAGAGGAATTCATACAGTAAAAGAAGATTATCCTTATGTATTTTAAATATTTCCCAACTTTTTGATGCCTCTGGGAATTTCTTCAAAAGCTGCCTTAGCAAATAGTTCTGTTAGTATATCAAGTATCAAGCACATGTGAAAATCCACTGCCCAAGAACCGCTCTCAGCAGGAGCCACAAGCAACATCTGCCCTGATACATTACCTTCTCCATTTGCCTTCTGAAATTAGATTCGACTTCGCAAAAGGGAGTGTGGAGGTATGGCTGTCAGCTTCAGAGGCATAAGACAGGAATGGCACTTTAATAACCCACTTAAAATAAATGAAACAGCCATTTATTCCGATTGGAGTAACACTAATTATATCAGAAAGTGTCACATTTGTAAATGGCAAAGTGCAAATGTTATCTAATGAAACTTAATGAATAGGTGAAGTATCCCGACAGACCATCTGCGCATCACTCCTGCATTCCAGCAAACAGAAAAAATAGCCTGTAGGGAGCTGATCTGAAAACGGAGGTTTTAAAACTGAAGGTTAATTATGGTGGTTGAATATGTGCTTTATCTAAAAACAAGTTTGTGTCATGAGCCTCAAGGAAATTTTTTCTTTTGAAGAAAGTAAATATAGTTGTAAGGTGGCTGGGACATGGGGAACACCTGGTGTGGAAGGGCCTGGGAGGCAGAGGGGGGACTCCCACACTTCATTTGTATGACAGAATCACAGAATCGTTAAGACCTCCAAGATTATCACATTCAACCATCAACCCATCCCCACTGACCACGTCCATCAGTGCCACATCCCCGTGTTTCCTGAATCCTTCCAAGGACGGTGACTCCACCACCTCCCTGGGCAGTCTATGTCAGTGCATCATGGTTCTTTTTGAGAAAAAATGTTTCCCAATATCCAACCTGAATCTCCTTTGGCACAACTCAAAGCCAATACCCCTTGTCCTAAAGGAGAAGGTGCAAGAAGCTTCCACTTCTGCTAAGTCACAAGAATCACAGAATCGTAGGGGGACCTTTATAAAAGAGTAAATGTGATGCTGAAATGTCCTTGTTTTCTCCCAAGCCAGCACCCAGCTAGCTCTGTTTGTACTTCAGGGAAGGGATATGAAGCAAGGAGCTGTGAACAGGTCTGAGAGTGCACGCTGGAGCCCAGCACTCCTGGAGGAGTTGATCATTATTGCAGCAGGAGTGCAGGGGCTCAGCAATCACATGGATAAGCTCACACATTTTTATGAAAGTGAGTTGGGCTTTCTATGAGCTGTTCACTGACAGCCTCTCAACACCTATGATGAAAGATGAAAAACTTTTTCACCTATTTAAATCCCTCTAATTAGGAGTACCAGTGAATTGACAAAATTGAAATTTCTGCCAGTAAAAAAAATAAAACATCAGCCCTTGCTCTTGTGAGTAAGGTACAATGTTAAAATCGGAAAACATTTACTTTCAAGCCTCATTAGTCAAAGCCTTAAAATATTAGCAGAATTGGCTGCATGAAAGCCATGCAAACAGCGCTAGTTTTATATACTGAAGATGCCAAGTAAACATATAAGTCCTGACCAAACAAGTACTGCACTGACAGCTGGGCTTAAAAAAAAAGCTGTGAGGGATGTAATAAAGCTTCATGCAAAATGTGTTCCCAGGAAAAAAAAAACAAAACAAACCCCAACAACTCAGGATAAAAAGACATTCACAGCCTCTGAATGCTTACTGAGATTAGACATAAAAGCCTCTTCAAGCTATCTTGAGTTGTATTTTCCTCTTAATGTCAAAGGGTACCCTGCTGCACAGGGAGATGTTTATACCCTCTCATGGGAAGCCAGAGGCTTCAGATAAGTGAACGTATTTGGAGGAACAGAACTTTAAAGGCTTAGGAAGACAGCCTTTATTATCAGCCAGCCCTCTATTAGGTTGGTGAGATTCCTGTTTGATTTGGCCTCTGTCTCTAGCCTCAAGTTCCTGCCCTAGCTTTTAAAATAGAACAAGATCTCCCTGCAGCTGAAAAAGGGCAGAGGGTGGAACGTGTAAATAGCAATTAAAACAAAAAAACAACAACAGCTTGTTTTAAAAAACCCTCCACTAAAAGATACACTCTGCTCTTTCTTAGTGGCCAAGGTTGGCAGGCCGACAAAACCAAACATGCCGCACAAAACCGTTTAAGTTATATGCAACTTGACTTGCTATTTCAGACTGTGGATGGGAACACACTCTTGACATCACCCTTCCTTGCTCTTGTGGTAAGAGGCCACACAGCCCAAAGGACAGACCTCTGGATTGAGCCTTGTGAGTGCTGCAAGCTATCCTGGCTGCTCTGCCAACTTGCTCGGCTGTCTACGTTTGGCAGTCGTTGTTGATTTACATTTCTGAAGCGTTTTTGAGACCTATAAATAAGAAATGCTGGGTTAGGTATTATTATATACTCTTACTATCAGTAGGTTTTGCTCCACATAGGTTAGTAAGACAAGATAGAAAAATAGAACAGCCAAGTGAACTAAACTTACATCAGGGAACAAGAACTCCTCATGTCCTTCCTTCCCACATCCCGATCACAGAGCAGCTGTCAGGCCTGTGCCATTCACTGCTCATGTTTTGTAACCTTACCTCATCTGTTTCTCCGTTTTCCACTGTACTGTTATAAATCATGACATTCTTGCCTCTCAGAGTTTCAATCAATATATAAAATGTCAGAGCACATAACTGGTACTCTCTCAATGCACACTAATGTAATTTCATAATGTGATTTCATTTTTCAGAGAAAGGATCAGATAAGCTATTACTGGAACAGGAAGAACCAGGTAATCCATCAAGAACACTTAAAAGGCAAAATTCTTTAGTTTTGAGTACTGTATTTGGCTTTGGATTATACATGGATGACTTCTATGACTTTCGCTCCATTTGCACATGCTACAAAACGAAACAGCTTCCAACGTCCAAACACAAATGCAATTGACCTAGAACAAAATGGATTCAGGATGGCTAAATTCAGGATTCAGGATGGAGAGAACAGTTAAGTCATAGAAGTGTTTCACCATCTGTTTATATAGTATATATATATATAGTATATATATTTATATAGCATCTTTTTATATAGTATCAGTATCATATGGGAGAAATCAGACTCAAACCCAGTGGTTTCTGTCTCATTTCCAAGCAATATCTTAAGTACCATATGAACCTGACTAATCTGTATCTCCAAGTATGACAACACTGGATAGAGATCTTGAAGACTGTAAGTGGCTGCAAGGTACAATGCACAAAATGTAAATAACTATACAATTTGGGGGAATTATTAAAGAAATCATACTGGAAAACAACAAACAGAACAAAACCCAAGCCACTTACATCAACCAAGTGATATTGGTTTGAATCTATTCTCAAATGGAAGACAAATCCAAAGATGCAGCTAAGACCAAGGTTAGTCTCGAGTCTGGTTCTGGAACCAGAACTTTGCTATGACAAGATGAGGTTCTGCTCACATCTCCACATTTCCTCTCCATTTGTTTGTGGCCTATCTGTGTGATAAAATGATGAGATTTTTGGTAGATTGCATTTAGTAACTAGTCCTTTTCACAAGCAGACTGGGAGCATCTGGATGAACTATTGATAATCTGTGCTATATAACAGCCTGTAGTTTCTGAGAACTTTTTAAACTTTTCTCAGTACTCTGAAATGTCAGCATGGTCTCTCCCACGGCTTAGTCTGGAGAGGGAAGGCACAGAGAAACTTAAAAGTACAAGTTGCTGCAGAAGCGAAGGCCAGAATCATAGCCCTTCTGTTTCTTGCTTTAGCCATCTCTTGGGCTATCTAAACACAAAGACTTCTGAAAGAATAATTGAATAGCTTACTTTTTGCTTAATTTAGTCGTTGAAATCAGTTTTTGCCAAGGATTGGGTGGACGCATCAAACACATCAGTGGGAAATCCAATTTTCTCTGATAGCATTTTCACTGTATGACTTCGTGACCTGCCTCTTTATAAGTTCTAAAGCTTTTGCTCCACAGGAAAGAAGGTTTGCTTAGAAAAAAGAAGTCATTTACTGCACAGTTTTCGCTACGCCAAATAACATAAATTATTTTTGTGTGAAAAATAGAAATCAGCAAGTAGAACGAAGCACTACTGGGATAGTCTAAGTTGAGATTAGAAAAGAAGGTAATTGCAAATAGAAATTCAAGAACACACCTGAATCTTGATGAGAATTTAAAATGCCCAAATAACTTCACTGAAACTTGGGCAGACACCAATTTTAGTCAAGTTAGCTGAAAAAGTCAGTGTAGAAGGTGACTTTACCTAGAAGCGACAGATAAACCAGATACCTCAGGCTCTGCCACACAGAGGCGACCATCAGTGTGTGCCTTAAAGCAGTGAAGGTTATGCGGGCAATTTGACACAGGCATACCTGACATTCTTCCCAAATTGGAGTGAAAAGACCAGGCTGTGATTTATACAAAAGGAGACAAAGCTGCACAAAGGCCAGGGGCAGGAAAGAGATCAAAGTTCTTAGACAGAACAAGCTAACCTTATCAGATTGAGGGTTTTTTTCATTTCAGGAACCAGTAAAACATTAATTTCCAGCAAAAATCTGATTGTGAAAATCATCTTCCCATGAAACAAAACATGCTTCAGCTTTCTGGTTTTTTGTTTTGTTTTGTTTTGTTTTTTGTCTAGTTGGTATTTCTTAATCATTTTTTTCTTCTTTCACTTTTTCAGTGGTAAAATAGACAAGGTTCAGGAAGAGACAAAAAGAGAAAATGTCAAACAGCCACAAAGAAACCTTGACATCTTCGGTAAAAATGTTGGTGAAATATTTTGAATTAATTAATAAAGTGGTTATACTGTTTGCAAAGGTCTTCAAAATTGTGTTTTCTGCTTTTCTCATATCGTTACTTCCCTGCTTCATAAGCACTAAAATAACACTGAGTGTTACAAAACATTTCAAGATTTTCCCAACTGTATTTGAATAAAATTATGGTCATAACAGTTTCAACAACCTTCTGGGAGGAGGTCTGAGTTTCTGAAGCTGGCCATCATTCAGCCATCAGTCTGAAGACCAAGTGGGTAAGAAGACTCTTAGTTTCTTTAGTTTCTTTCTCCAGCTTCTCTCTTTAAGGACATTTACAGGAGCACAGGACTTACTGTGCCTCTTACTCTTACCCACTATTTCATGCTGAATGGCAAGCAGAACAAAACTAGCACTTGCTACTGCCAGTCTATGGCTAGTTACAGCTAAAGATGGTAATTTATAGGTCTGATGAATAGAGATTCTTTCTTTAATGGCTAAATGTAATATATTTGTTCTTTCTTTTAAAATTTGCTAGTTCAGACACTGATCTTAGATTTTCACTTAAGCCTCAGGCCCCTCGAATATCAAGATTCCTGACAGCTCCATGTGCATTCCAGAACTCTGACTCCACTAATTCTCTCCAGGCTGGTGGAAAGACAAAGTAGAAGAGCAGTCAGTCAGAAAGACACATTTATTTTCATCTCTCATGCAGCTGATATCTGAGAAGAGCATCTCAGTGAGGCCCTAAGGGCAACAAGGATTTTGATTTACTCCAGAAACTGTTTTCATAGACATGTTGCTTTCTTGGCAAAATTTATAAGAAATTCTTGAACTATAAAGTCTCAGGGAAAGTTTTGACTTCCTGCCTCACTTGAACAAATACTATTTGCACTGTATTTAATATAACCCCTTACAGCAACAGCACTTATATTTTCCCAATGAAATGTCAGTATGTTTCATATTTAAAAACTTCACTGTTCATACTATCAATACTTATTGTACAAACACAATATTGAATAATTTTTTCAAATCTTCATTAACTTCAGGACCAACAGGAAGAGGAAATGAGGGCAGGAAAAACCTGCAATCACTGTTACGCACTGCCTGTAACATCAGGCACATTGCATCAGTGCACCGTTTTCCTTGTTCATTTCTCTCCAGCTCGGATATCCTCCAGCAGAACCAGCTCAGAGAACAAAAACTGGATTATATATTTGTCTGAATAATATCTAATATTTCAGCAGCTAATGAAAAATGATCAAAGATACCAGCTGTCGTACTTCAGGAGGATAAACCGATTATCAGCTGAGATCAAGAAAAAATAGCTTCCCCACCCTCATCCCTCAACACTTCAACATAATTACAATGGAAACACAATGAGGATTTAAACCTTTTTTGAGGCAGCCACAACTGGGTGCACTGGAAAGACAATAAGAAAGGAAAATGAGACAACTCATTTGCCTTGAAAATTCCTATAGCGGTAAAGAGTAGAGAGAGCAGCAATCCATATCAAGGTGAAAAAAAAAAAAATTGGCTTTCCTCTTTAAATACTGGCAGATGAACCACATATGGCTTCTACAATTCATGTCAATGCACTAATGACTGCCCATTAAGGTACTAGTTACTTCCCAGCATATTGTCTGTGTATCCACCAAGGACCCATAATACAGTTCCAGTCATTTTCTGCACACAGTGTTTAATTCTGACTCTTCTAATTACATGTCCTGTAAGGTCAAACTGACACTGTTAACTCAACTCAAAAGCATTCAAGTCTAGTACTCAACAAGACAGTAATATACTCATTTAGAGGCACATACATGACTCACGCTCAGCTCATCTGCCTCTACATACGTCCTTTTTATTCCTGTTCAATCAATACTAAAAAACCTCGGAGTAGCAAGTTTGGTCTTTGCTTTATTTACCAGTCAGAAGAAAGATTTATTCATCTACCACTAATGTAGATTTAACCCGTCATCTGACAATTGGACTTACCTATTTCACACAATTTTTTATATGAATAGTCATGAAAATAGTGAAGATGTAATTTACAAGACTGTGCCTACTCCTGGAGCTGTGTAAACTCTGAATCAGGAGTAGTTAATATGTACATTAATTACCTGGTTCTCTTTACTGCTTGTATCTGTGCCTCTCTGGGTAATACACCTGCCTTCCAGAGCTGATCTTATATTTGTGTGTAAAATCTGGAACACACACAAAGAGCTGTAGAAGCAGTGCAGAACTAAAAAAACTGGAGAACAAATCTACCTGCATTATTTTGCACTTTCTTTTACTGTTGTCCTATCCATAAGGTTGCAGAACTCAAGCAGATACCATGTTATGCCTGGCAGTCTTCCCTTCTGGGGAACATTCTTCTGCGCTTGGGGTAAACATGTTAGTAGAGGAAGGACAGGTGGGAGATTTAGAGGTATGAGAACGAAGTTCACAATTTAAGTACCCAAGTATGAAATGGCTTTCTAGGAAAGCTCTGAAATGTATCCACAGAGTGTTCTGATTCTGGATTCATCTGATAACTTCTAAGAGGTTTTTTTTATCAGTCATCAAGAGAATGGGTATGCTGAGGCTGAGTGTTTGGCATGGTCCTAGAAGTGTGCAGCAGCTACAGCCAAACACAGATTAATATTCAACTTCTACTGTTGCTGAAGGTTGATCTATGTATTGATTTTAAAACTAGATCAGTACCTTGAATTGGTACTGAAGAGGCAGAGAGCAGGCTTTAGATTCCCACAATGGACGGAAGCCTGGAGAAGAGGAGCAGGCAGCCACATGCTGCCCCACTGACATCTGTGCATCTGCCTGAAATCCAGCTCTAGATATAACAAAGAAGGGCAGCCCCTCTGGTGGTAATGAATGACTTGGGATACTGCAGACAGATCTGTATATGGGAAGAAAGGCCAAATTTTCATAGAAAGCTGGATGTAAAAGATGGCATTTTTAGAAACTAATGTAAACCTATGAGCTTCCTTAAGTAAAGTATGCTGATGTGTTTCAAAGTTTGAACTGCATAAACACAAGAAGTAAATACTGTAAGAGCAGGATTTTTTTTTTAACAGCCTCACCTTTATGACCTTATCTAACCTTTTAAAAAAGCCAATTTTCTGCTTGCTTACTTATTCTGTATTTTTATACACACATTTAAATCTATACATATGAAGCTAGAACTTCTCAAGAATTGCTTCCCACTGGAAATTACTCACTTTTCTTCATTCTCGGTTACAAGAAAGGTTACAAGGAAGACTGAATTGGAAATACAGCATTTTAGCACACAAGATTTAAAACTTCTTGATTAATACAAATAGTGCACACAAACAAGCATTACCAGGTGCCTTGGGTGAGTGCTGTCTGCTGCCATAGACTAAACTCCACACCTTTTCCTGTTAAAACCTATGCAAACAAACAAATGGGAACAATAGATTAGCCAACTGAATTAAACTTTCCCGAGTGCTGCAACACGTACTGAGTTTAAAGCATCAGCATAGGGAAGATGAGAGAAGAGCTGGGTTAAAAGCATGGGGATTACTGTAAGCAGTGATAAGCTACCATGAAATAGGTGACCAGTTATCAAGAAGAGAGGGTTCTCTGTCCTTAAAAGACAATTACTACATAATATTGTATAATATGGCCTCAAACACAA